CACGTGTTCTTTTATTCACATGTTCATAATGCACGTGTTCTGTTATTTACATATTCATTATTCACGTGCTTTGTAATTCACATGTTCATAACGTACGTGTTTTGTCATTTACATGTCCATATTGCACCTGTTCTGTAATTCACATGTCCATAATGCACGTGTTTTGTAAATCACATGTTCATAATGCACATGTTCTATTATTCACATGTTCATAATGAACATGTTTTGTAAATAACATGTCCATAATGCACCTGTTTTGTAAATGCACGTGTTCTGTAATTCGAATGTCCATAATGCACGTGTTCTGTTATTCACATGTTCATAATGCACGTGTTCTGTGATTCACATGTCCATTATGGACGTGTTCTGTTATTCACATGTTCATAATGGTCGTGTTTTGAAATTCAAATGTCCAGAATGCACGTGTTTTGTAATCCACATGTTCATAATACGCGTGTTTTGTAATTCACATGTTCATAATGTACGTGTTCTGTGATTCACATGTTCATATTCCACGAATGTCCATAATGTACGTGTTCTGTTATTCAATTGTTCATAATGCACGTGTTTTGTAAATCACATGTTCATAATGCACATGTTCTGTTATTCACATGTTTTGTAAATAACATGTCCATATTGCATGCGTTTTGTAATCCACATGTTCATAATGCACGTGTTCTGTAATTCGAATGTCAATAATGCACGTGTTCTGTTATTCACATGTTCATATTCCACGTGTTTTGTAATTCACATGTTCATAATGCACGTGTTCTGTAATCCACATGTTCATAATCTACGTGTTTTGTAATCTACATGTTCATAATGCACGTGTTCTGTGATTCACATGTCCATTATGGACGTGTTCTGTTATTCACATGTTCATAATGGTCGTGTTTTGAAATTCAAATGTCCAGAATGCACGTGTTTTGTAATTCATTTGTCCATAATACAAGTGTTCTGTAATTCACATGTCCGTAATGCACGTGTGTTGTAACCCACATGTCCATTATGTTCGTGTTTTGTAATTCACATGTTCATAGTCCACTTGTTTTATTATTGACATGTTCATAATGCACGTGTTCTGTAATTCACATGTTCATAATGTAAGTGTTCAGTAATTCACAAGTTCATAATGCACGTGTTCTGTAATTCACATGTTTATAATACACGTGTTCTGTAATTTACATATTCATAATGCACGTATTCTGTAATTCACATGTCCATAATGCACGTGTTCTGTAAATTCACATGTTCATAATGCTCGTGTTTTGAAATTCACATGTTCATAATGCACGTGTTTTGTAATTCGAATGTCCATAATGCACGTGTTTTGTAATCCACTTGTCCATTACGCACGTGTTTTGTAATCCACATGTCCATTATGCACGTGTTCTGTAATTGACATGTCCATTATGCACTTGTTTTGTAATTCAAATGTCCATTATGCACGTGTTTTGTAATCTACATGTCCATAATGCACGTGTTTTGTAATTGACATGTCCATAATGCACGTGCTTTGTAATTCACATGTCCATAATGCACGTACTTTGTAATTCACACCTCCATAATGCATTTGTTTTGTTATTCACAAGTTCATAATGCACATGTTCTGTAATTCACATGTCGATAATGCACGTATACTTGATGTATTTGGAAGGTGTTTTACGAAGAAAATGTCCACATGGCTGACTGTCAGTAAAGGAAGAGTGTCTATAAGGCCCTTTTTTGGCCGCCGGTATATTCGGATTTTCACCTCCTTATTTTGTTCAAAGATATCCTATTGTATGACATGCGGAAAAACTATGACCGAAAGTGGGTTTCTGGGGGTACCAAAAGGGGTAGGGTAAATAACAAATATAGTCCGCTGTTTTTAAAATGAGCTTAAAAACCAAAATAATACAATTTCTGGTTTTGAAAACATTTATAAATAAGACAAGCATAATATGTAACAGAATGAAAATGACAGAAATTCAATCGTCACTTAAAGACTGTTTGTATAAAACAAAGGATTAAATCAGGGGGTTCTTTTCGGTCATTTTCAATTGAAAAATCATTTGTTTTCTCAATAATTTCCTTTCTAATTAGAATTTTGACTTGAAATTTACAACTTCACTCATTTAAGTAGACTTACATAAATAATATATTTACTACATACTTTCCTTTTGTTTTATACCGAAATATGGCTACTGGACACATATCAAACTTAGCTATTTCAAATATATTTCAAACTTAAGTGAATTAAAAGGTGCAGGACACCCTTTATATGCTATAAGTATAAGCCTTTATAGTTTATATTGTATAGTATATGTATCATATGATATGTGCTCAGCACATGTGGCTGCAGTGAGTCCCAGGTCCTATGATGTTTTCTTATTTATCAAAGTTAACTTACATATAAAAATTGACATTTGTCATCATAATTGCAGTAAAATGATTGGTTTGATATATGAAGTTTGGTTTGCTAGTAATTGAAAGTCCCCTAGACTCAAGGAAAGTATCTGCTTTAATCGTTAAAGTTAACCGATTTCATAGTTTTATCAAATGTTATGCATATTTCCAATGCTTATTCGCTGATTGTACATAAAATGCATTTAGGGATAAGCATGTAACTTGGCATATATATTAGTTATTTAAGGAATGACCAAGATTTTGTTGTGGTATATACGGTATATACCGAAAAAGAATTGTGCACTTTGCATAAATCCGCTCATTTCTTTTCGGTATATACCGTATATACCAAAACAAAATCTTGGGCATTTTTAATATAATTTAATTTAAAGAGGGTAGACAAACACGTTGTAAATGCACAGTTAAAGATTTATTTAATTTTTACGTAAACTAAACCATTGCGCTAAAAAAAGCTGCGTTGTAATTTTGCATTCTGAAGTGTAAAAAGTAGTTCCGTCATCAGTTGTTTTTCTTTTTAGGTATATACGATATAATTATACCAAAAACAATATTATGGGGGAGATAGGCAAAATCAAATTATATGATGATATTTAATTTGTGAAAGTTTCATACTCATCTCATGTTTTGGAGTACAAGAACCAAAGTGCATCTCCTTGACTAACACCAAATATTTCCTGACAATACTAGTCTATATGAATGTATGTAGATTAAACAGGCTCAGTAGAGTATTTATAGTAGTAAGAGGGGCGTTTGACATGCTACACATACCAAAAGTCAGATAGTTTATGCTTTGAAAATGCAAAGAGAGACTAAGTTGTTCGTTCAAGTTAATGCTTGCACTTAACGGTTAATTATTTTGTTGATTTCATACGGTTTATTTGTTACATTCAATGCTAGCTGCTACTCATATTATTTCTCAGTTACTTTTCTTCCCTTTTTGTCACATTACGTTAACCATGCCGTCGGTGTATTTAAGTGACACTAAGGATATTATGTAACTCAGTCCTTACATGTAATTCTTCGCTATGTGTTTTATATAACTTATTTCTATGACACATGGTGTTTTCTACCATACGCTACACATTTATGACATTCAACTGATTTTTATAAAACATTCAAAAACAAAAACAGATGAAAACAAATTGCCACTTTCAGACTTTTGACGTGTCGCATTCAGTAAAGTTACAGCAAGTGTCCTCAGAAGACCTGAAACTTACAAACTTGCAAAGGGTGCATATGTTACAGACGTTTCAATTAAAAAACATTGGAATTTGATTATCAAACAATGGAAATGTTTAGTTGCTTTGTTTTGAGATATGGTACTGCAACGACATATTTCCTTAGTAGTAACACAGTAGCCTCCCTTGTTTATGTGTTTCTCTTGTACTTGTATGATCTGTATGCGTTTATGAGCTGTAAAAAAGTGATCGTGTTGACTTTTACATTGTATGATTTAATTGTGTTGACTGACAGTTTAGGCAATCGTGCGGCCCTTTATGATAAACTTGATATCCCCTGGTTCCGACACATTGTGTGTGTTTGTCTTTCCATTGTTTTAATGTCTCCCGAGTTCCAGTTGTCATCTTCACGTATAGGCTTTTGGCTCTATATATATTTGTATTTTTTTCTTTATCAATCTTGTCGCCGAACGACGGCTGATACGTAAGATATAAGGATAACAAAATAACAGGTACATTTTTGTATCTTCCAATAGGTAGGTTAAATATTTTGATTTTTTCCCCACGAGTGTGTAGCGGGAGGGAACTATATATGTTTTCAAATAAAACTCTCATTCACGAAGAAAATGACAATACAATATTTCAGTTTTTGCGTTTTTTTCTTAATATGTTGTCTTCCGAGAACAGAAAAATCGAATAAAGGAAAATGTAAGGACAAAGAATGTTGTATAGGGACGTAACCAAGTGAGAACGTGAGAATGTGAGATCCGTAAATTGTCAATGTTTTATACAATAAATAACGATGTTGCCTCCGAATATTTACGCGAATTGATGCCACAAATAATAAGAAACATGTCTATAGATATAATTTAAGGAATGCAAATCAAATAAGAATGCCTAACTATCGATTGCAAATTATGCGAAACTCTTTTTTTTCCCCATCAACTATTAAAGCATGGAATGATCTTGATGAACATATTAAATCATCTGAAACCTTAAACATTTTTAAATCGAGAATAAACAAAAGTATCAATAAGAACGAAAATAAACTTATATAACATTTCCTAAATTTCCTAACTAACTGTGCTCAATCTAACCTTCGTGTAGCTTGTTAAACAAAATAAGATTCGGCTGTAAACATCTCAAAAAGTCTTCCAAATTATTGACAAAATTGTATCTCTTATTGATATAATTATCAGCGGAACAAGAAACTGTTCTTTAGCACAGATATTGAAGTTGAACATGAGAACGATTTCATGTATGCAGACTCTGGTCTCTGCTGAATGGTCGTTTAAGTGTGAAAATAGTAGAAAGGTAATTAGTTACAGTACTTAAATATCAACTTTTTTTTATCATTAAATGAAAAATGCAATACCGGTTATCAAAACAAATAATTGGAACGCATCATCTCGTTATTTATAAAATTTAATAGTTTTATATTTACGAATGTTGACAAATCTTTTAATAATATAAATTCAACAACGTTTAGGTTAGCCGAAACAGACTTCGACGAACCCCAAACATCATTAGCACCAAAAGAACGCCGAACAAGGATATCAATAAACTGGCGGTCTCCAGCTCCTGAAAATAAAACCAGAGACTAAAATTAAAACCAGACCGGAGGAAAATATCGGATCGGTTTGCCGGAAAACTAGCTGGACAATTAAACAAAGCATTTATTTAAATAGTTAGCTTAGCTTGTACATATAGCTGCACACACTACACATGTGTGTGATTCACGGAACCCATATACAGTTTGATGTCATTTCATTATTATATTGAAAGTGGTGAGAAATCATCGTTTCAGGTTTACTGTCTTTAAAAAAGATTTTCGAGTTCTACATGTGATACACAAAAGCGTAACAACCGCTAGTACAACATCTATATTTCTATGACATGACTAGGAAGTGCAAGGTACGTGTAAATCTTTCCAAGGATGTTCTTGATTGAGTTTGAATATTATCTAGTATACCCACAATATTCATTATTGAATTCGCGACGTTGAAAGTGTAGTGTCATTTCTAAACCAAAATCCTCTCTTGGTTGTAGAGTTCCCATAAGTTCTATACATAGATACAACTTTACAAACTTACCACCATACAGATATATACTACGTACATTATTACAGCTAATCCACAGGACCGGCTTTGAGTGGAGTCGGAGGGCGTGGATATGGTTTCCTGGAGAGTCAGTGACGGGCCCCGATTTCCCAAGGTTTGTCTCGTTCTCCTCCGGACCCGAAGGGGGCACACAGTAATCGGGGCCACTGATATACCCCACAGACAGTCCACGCCTGGCGGGGAGAACGGAAATGGCACCTGTTACTGACTGATACCACGGAATTGTTATCTAAGTCCGTGCTGATACAACACCAATCTGATTCCTTAAAGATACACATTTTGAGTTGTTTCAAACTCAAATTTATGAATATTAACTATAATTGATGATACATTTAACTAAAACATAAAAAAAACATTCATTTGTGTAACGTCCTATATACTCTTAAGAAAATTACTCTTTGAGCCCCAAAGATATTTTTCCGAGAATTCCACGTTTTCATCTAGTAGTGCTCTCTGGCCCCACACTGGACATGTATCTGTCAAAATGTCTAAGTCTGGTGTCAGGGCCAGAGGAAACTCGGGCTGTCATAAGCCCGTGTTTCCGAATACATACCTGTACCTGTGTTTCTGAGCACAAAAATGAGTTTCCATACCTGAGCATGCGACACCTGTGTTCCTGTAGACGTCTGGACGCCGCTAGTACGTCAGTTACACTCCTGCTGCTCCATAGTCTCTCCGCCACAGCGGACGCTCTCGGCCTGTTAGCATATCATATAAGGAAATGAGTCGACGATGGAAATTGTTTTTTAAATTTTCCTTTTATTATTTGGTTATGTCTGATGACGCGTCAGTTATTTTCGTGAAAAAGATACTAATTTTTGATAATTGATTATCAAAATCACAAATAAGAAACAAATATTGAGATTTAAATGATTTTCTAGTCTACATTTAGAGCATCCATTGTACTTTTTTCTTACATACAGTAATATAGTAACCCCCTCCCTTAATTCGTTTTAAATATAACTGTATTTAGCTAAGGCCATGTAACCATCGTTTGATCAGGTACATGTATCTCATTTGTCAAAACTACCGTATTGTGGTCAGAGGTCAAGAGTTCAACTCCCGATTTGGCTCCATTGCCTATTGTCTTTCAGAGCACTGTTGTTTTAAATTTCCCCAGTCTATTAGTGTGCTCATAAAGTGTTCGCTATACATGGGTTTCTGTTTAGGAATGCATTAGTACAGCTATTGATATGCCGGTAAAAATATAAAATTAAAAGTTAAGTCATAAATAGGTTTCAGAGTTGTCTCCCCTGAGTCGGATCAAATAAGAAATTTATGATAATGCATTTTTTATTTTCTGCAAGGTACCACTTAATTGCCTTGTCAACCACTTCCAGTCTATTTCAAAGCGTAAATATCAGTCGACAATTGTAATACATGACAATAAGAAATCATATCCAACCATAATCCTCAAAAAATAAGTTCCGTCTTTGATCTCCCCTTCGACAATTGTAAAGAACTCGTTTCATAAGCCAACACCGATTGACATTTTTTGAGTCTTCCAAATGACCTCCAAATAACCCCTGAGACTCCTTGCACTGATTTGCTTGTTCTTCACATAGTAAATCATTACTAGAAAACGAGACGAGTCACACCTCGCACCGACATCTCAAGGCGCAGTAAACCATCGATTTACTGTCTTAAACCACTAGTAAATGTTTGATTGCTGCTTTACGTTGATATTTTATGACTTTGATAAGGTCGCGCGGATCACGTGGGAGGGGAGCAGCGACTGTGATAAGGTCGGACAAAGGGAATGACAGTCATACAATAAAACTTAATGTTAACAACTGGATAAATCTGAAAATCCAGGAGGGACTTCCCCTTTCTGTTACCTAGGCCATTCTCCGATTTTGCTGTATGATGGTCATACTATTTAACGCCATATTGGATTTGTTTTTGTTCAAAATGAAATATATATATGTTAATGCCAGACAGTCTATCGTACAAAGAAGTTGCACTCGAAGTTAAACAACAAGCATCATCAGACAAATCAATACATTTTGGCATGACGTACCACAACAGACTGATGACGTTTTCGTTGGTGATGTACTCGCTCCATAGACAGGCCTCTCCTCCCAGTATCATCTGTTCTCTAGCCTCTTTACCTATAAATAAGTTTAGCATGGTCAGACACCAATGGATTTGTAAATATCATGAAAACATTGCTATTTATTTAGCTGTACCCATTTAATTTAATTTGCAGATAGGAGATGCTCAAATGTCGACCATCTTAGAATTCAAAGCTCTTATTTACACTATAGGTTTATATTGTACACTTCACTTCCGGTTTACCATATATTTACCTGTTCGGTTAATCATATAAACAGTAAACGCCTTTCTTTCGGGTTTTTTCTTACGGTTCCTGTGAACCGTTGCTTAACCTTCCTTGTATACACTCGACATTCATATCCAGTTAACCATAAAACCTACCTGTCGGGCGTATCCTAGCAATCATATCCAGTTCACAGTTAACCTACCTGTCGGGCGTATCCTAGCAATCATATCCAATTAACAGTTAACCTACCTGTCGGGCGTATCCTAGCAATCATATCCAGCTAACAGTTAACTTACCTGTCGGGCGTACCCTAGCCATTCATATCCAGTTAACAGTTAACCTACCTGTCTGGCGTATCCTGGTCATTCATATCCAGTTAACAGTTAACCTACCTATCGGGCGTATCCTGGCCATTCATATCCAGTTAACAGTTAACCTACCTGTCGGGCGTATCCTATGGCCATTCATATCCAGTTTACAGTTAACCTACCTGTCGGGCGTATCCTAGCCATCATGTCCAGTTAACAGTTAACCTACCTATCGGGCGTATCCTGGTCATCCATATCCAGTTAACAGTTAACTTACCTGTCGGGCGTATCCTAGCCATTCATATCCAGTTAACAGTAAACCTACCTGTCGGGCGTATCCTAGCCATCATGTCCAGTTAACAGTTAACCTACCTATCGGGCGTATCCTAGCCATTCATATCAAGTTAACAGTGAACCTACCTGTCGGGCGTATTCTATAGCCATTCATATCCAGTTAACAGTAAACCTACCTGTTGGGCGTATCCTAGCCATCATGTCCAGTTAACAGTAAACCTACCAGTCGGGAGTATTATATAGCCTTTCATATCCAGTTAACCTTAAACCTACATGTCTGGCGTATCCTAGCCATTCATATCCAGTAAACAGTAAACCTACATGTCTGGCGTATCCTAGCCATTCATATCAAGTAAACAGTAAACCTACATGTCTGGCGTATCCTAGCCATTCATATCCAGTAAACAGTAAACCTACCTGTCTGGCGTATCCTAGCCATTCATATCCAGTTAACAGTAAACCTACCTGTCGGGCGTATTCTATAGCCATTTATATCCAGTTAACAGTAAACCTACCTGTCGGGCGTATCCTGTCCATTCATATCCAGATAACAGTTGACCTTCCTGTCTGGCGTATCCTATAGCCATTCATATCCAGTTAACAGTAAACCTACCTGTCGGGCGTATCCTAGACATTTATATCAAGTTAACAGTAAACCTACCTGTCGGGCGTATCCTAGCCATTCATATCCAGTTAACAGTTGACCTTCCTGTCTGGCGTATCCTATAGCCATTCATATCCAGTTAACAGTAAACCTACCTGTCGGGCATATCCTAGCCATTCATATCAAGTTAACAGTAAACCTACCTGTCGGGCGTATTGTATAGCCATTTATATCCAGTTAACCTTAAACCTACCTGTCGGGCGTATCCTAGCCATTCATATCCAGTAAACAGTAAACCTACCTGTCGGGCGTATTCTATAGCCATTTATATCCAGTAAACAGTTAACCTACCTGTCTGGCGTATCCTAGACATTTATATCAAGTTAACAGTAAACCTACCTGTCGGGCTAATCCTGGCCATTCATATCCACTTAACCTTAAACCTACCTGTCGGGCGTATCATATTGCCATTCATATCCAGTTAACAGTTAACCTACCTGTCGAGCGTATCCTAGCCATCATGTCCAGTTAACAGTAAACCTATATGTCGGGCGTATACTGGCCATTCATATCCAGTTAACAGTAAACCTACCTGTCGGGCGTATCCTGGCCATTCATATCCAGTTTACAGTTAACCTACCTGTCGGGCGTATCCTTGCCATTCATATCCAGTTAACAGTTAACCTACCTGTCGGGCGTGTCCTAGCCATCCATATCCAGTCAACTTTATATCAACTTGTCCGGCGTAACCCAACCATTTATATCTTGCTTACCCTAAACCCACCATGTTCGGTTTATACTATACCCATCTGTCCGCTATTCCCTAGCCATTCATGTCTGGTCTACCCTATACCCATGTGTTCGTTGTTCCGTAGCCATTCATGTCCGGTTTATCCTATACCATACGTCTGTTGTTCCGTAGCCATTCATGTCCGGTTTATCCTTTACCCATATATATATATCTGTTGTCCCCTAGCCATTCATGTCCAGTTTACCATATACCCATCTGTCCGTTGTTCCCTAACCATGCATGTCCGATTTACCCTATACCCATCTGTCCGTTGTTCCCTAGCCATGCATGTCCGATTTACCCTATACCCGTCAGTCCGTTGTTCCGTAGCCATTCATGTCCGGTTTATCCTATACCCATCTGTCCGTTTTTTTCCCTAGCCATTCATGTCCGTTCTACCCTATTCCCATCTGTCCGTTGTTCCCTAGCCATTCATGTCCGGTTTATCCTATACCAATCTGTCCGTTGTTCCCTAGCCATGCATGTCTGATTTACCCTAACCCATATGTCCATTGTTCCGTAGCCATTCATGTCCGGTTTATCCTATACCAATCTGTCCGTTGTTCCCTAGCCATGCATGTCCGGTTTATCCTATACCCATCTGGCCGTTTTTTCCCTAGCCATTCATGTCCGATCTACCCTAACCCATATGTCCGTTGTTCCGTAGCCATTCATGTCCGGTTTATCCTATACCCATCTGTCCGTTTTTTCCCTAGCCATTCATGTCCGATCTACCCTAACCCATATGTCCGTTGTTCCGTAGCCATTCATGTCCGGTTTATCCTATACCAATCTGTCCGTTTTTTCCCTAGCCATTCATGTCCGGTCTACCCTAACCCATATGTCCGTTGTTCCGTAGCCATTCATGCCCGGTTTATCCTATACCAATCTGTCCGTTGTTCCCTAGCCATTCATGTCCGATCTACCCTATACCCATCTGTCCGTTGTTCCCTAGCCATTCATGTCCG